CTCACATCGGACCATTTCTTCTTCCAGGCAAACTGAAAAGCCAGGTGCACTGCTCAAAGTTCTGCCCATTGGGAAGATTTCCCTTCACCACTGCCCTTTAGGGAGATCCCAGAAAGGGGCTGTGGTGGTGCTGCTGTCCACTTACAAGTGACACCTATATATCATGCAGAGCCATCCGTAAACCAAGCATGAATTTTCTGTTCCTCAACCAACTTACCATAAGGACCTGCCCAGGAGGCCATAGGTGCACACTGGGAGAAGGAAAGTACTGTGACAAGAGTGGAAATGGGGCATTTGGGCCACTTCTTAATGCAGCTTAATTGTACCTCAGATCCTGCTCCAGCCCAATCTTGTATATACCAGTCCCATTTAATGATGGTGTGTTGCTGTGCACATCCAATTTTATGACTCTGTGACTCAGACAATGCCCAGTTCACAATGGGCAGCTCAGGCCTCATGATGACTTGGTGGCTCATGGTGAGGCCTTCAGTCTGTACGAAGGCCCAGGAACAGGCCAACAGCTGTTTTTCAAAAGGGCAGTAATTGTCTGCAAAGGATGGCAGAACTTTATTCCGAATTCTCAAGGGTCTGTGCTGTGATTCACCAATAGGGGTCTGCCAAGACTCCACGCTGCATCTCTGTCTACAACTGACAACTCTAGCACCATCGGGTCACCTGGATCAGATGGTCCCAGTGGCAAAGCAGCTTGCACGGCAGCCTGAACCTGTTGCAGAGCCTTTTCTTGTTCTGGGTCCCACTCAAAATTGGAGGCCTTTCGTGTCACTTGATAAATAGGTTGGAGTAGAACACCCAAATGAGGGGTATGTTGCCTCCAAAATCTGAAGAGGCCCATTAGGCATTGTGCTTCCTGTTTAGTTGTTGTTGCGGGGGTGGGGGGTGGGGCAGGGGCGGCAAATGCAATAGCTTATCTTTCACTTCAGTAGGACTGTCTCAACATGCCCCACACCACAGGACCCCTAGAAATTTTACTGAGGTGGAGGGTGCCCAAATCTTCATTGGGTTGATTTCCCACCTCTTGCACACAAATGTTGTACCAATGAACTAGAGTCTTTGATACATCATCTTTAGTGGGTCCAATCAGCATAATGTCATCAATATAATGGACTAATGTAACATTTTGTGGAAGAGACAGGCTATCAAGGTCCCTTTGGACTAAAGTATGACACAGGGTGGAAGAGTTGATGTACCCCTGGGAGAGAGTTGTGAAAGTATATTGTTGCCCCTGCCAGGTTCTGGTGGTCCTTTGAGATTGATCTGGCATTGGCCAGATCAACAGCTACATACCAAGTCCAGGAACAGTATTAATTTGCTCAAGCAGTGAAATCACACCTTGTATGGCAGCTGCCATTAGCGTTACCACCTGGGTAAGTTTATAATAATCCACTGTTATTCTCTAGGATC